TGATTTGGTAAAGAGTTTTAAAATCCAAATATTAGGGTGAGTTGTTAAATATTTTTCATAAAAAAAAAAGGATTGATTTTGATGATTTAAATGTATGAAAACCTTATTAATTGGAATCAATTATTAGGTTATATTAGATTAATAAGTTATATTTCTAAGTTTGATATCATAACATAAAATGACAATTATAATTGTCAAATCCCATCCAAGAATTAATTTTAAAAAATAACTATGTTAAAGCAAAAGGAATCTTATACCCGTTTTTGCTACATATTAATAAAGCCTAAGAGATATACACTTTTCCTTGGACTCAACTATTGAGGAAAAAACATGAAAAGCAAGAAACCAGGCTATAAGGTCAAATGATACATTAGGCATGCTTGTGAAGGATAAAAAATATTAAATAAAAATATTAATATTTGACTGTCACAAAAAGGAACACATGGATCGTGCTTCCATGTTTACTTAAAGCTAAGGGGAAGTTTATTATTTATTTACATTTATTATATTATAGATTACAATAGTAATTTATAGTGTATTTTTTTGTTTTTTTATTTTTTTCACTCACAATGTATTACTTTCCCCCCCCTAAAATTATCCTTTTTAATTTTACTTTTTTATATTGAGCTAGTTAAAATTTTCGCTTTATATTTTTTCTTAAATATTATAAATTATTACGGTATTTTTCTACATGAGTTTTCTATTTTACTTTTGTATTTTCTAAAATTATATTTGTCAATTGTATTTTTTTAATATTGAGCCGAGTAAAAATTTAATTTTATATTTTTTTCTTTAAAACATTGTTGATTGCTACAATGTTTCTCCACATGGTTTTTTTTGTATTTGTTTTTTTATGATTTTTTTCAAAATTCTCTTTATCGATTTTATTTTTTTAATATTGAGCTGGTTAGAATTTAATTTGGTAATAAAATTCAATCATGTAGGGAAAAGACTGTAGCTTTCCTTACAAAATATTGTGAATTGTTATAGTGTCTCTTTATATGGTTTTTTTGTTATGATTTTTTTTTAAGTTTTCTTTATTAGTTTTATTTTTTTAATATTAAGCTAGTTGATAATTACAATTATAATTTATTATAAATAAAGCTAAATCATATAAGGAAGTACTATAGTTTTCATCACAAAATACTGTAAATTATTATAGTGTTTTGGGTTTTTTTAGTGTTCTTTATTTATTTTTTAAAATTATCTCTTCGATTTTATTTTTTTAATAGTGAGCTGATTGAAAATTTAACTTTATAATTTTTTTTAAAACACTGTGAATTGCTGTAGTGTTTTCCCACGTGATTTTTTTCAAAATTATCTTTGCCAATTTTTTTTTAAATTGAGTTGGTTAAAAATTATAATTACAATAAAACTAAATCATATGAGAAAAGCATTATTTTTTTCCTCACAAAACAATGTAGATTGTTACAATATTTCTCTAAATAATTTTTTATGATTTTTTCTAAAATTATCTTTGTTAATTTTATTGGGAAAATCACTATAGTTTTCTTTATAAAACATTGTCAATGGCTACAATATTTTTTTTCATGGATTTTTTTCCCTCTGAAATTATCTTTATTGATTTTTTTTTAATATTAGGTTGATAGAGAATTTAGCTTTGTAATCTTTTTTGTTTTTTATTAATATAAAAGCTAAATCATATGATGGAAGCACTATATATTTCCTCACAAACACTATGGATTTCCACAAATCATTTTGTTCAGTCTGTAAGTTTTTGATCACCAATATAATTTTTTTCCGTCATGAAATATTATATTCATAATACCTTTAGTTTCTATTACTTAT